GGTCCTTACAAGTATACAGGGAGATCCTCACAGGTCCTCAGGTCCTCACAAGTACACAGATACATCCCCACAGGCCCTCAGGTCCTCACAGGCAGGTCCTCATAAGGCAGGCAGGACCTCACAGGTATGCAGGTCCTCATTCCGAGCTGTCCTGGAGTGCTCTCTACCTCATCCAGGCATCCCCCGAGGAACACCAGGATGTAGGGCTGTCTGTAAGGAATGAACAGGCTCCAGGTTGAGATGGAATCTTAGATCTCACTTAGCTTTCCCCACTACTCACTTCTGTTTCACATTTACCAAATGCTTGCCTTTTAGTACTCAGTTGTTTTTTCATATTTCTCTGTTTATAATTTTTCTCCCATTAGACAGTAAGTAATATCATATCCTAGATGTAAAGTCACTTCTATTTTTTAGAATCTGATAAAAACAGTGACTCTTATCTCTTTAGAAAGCTTTTGCACACCATTTCAAGATGTTTATGGGCCACTTCTGAAATTTATAATAATAATTTTTTTTAAAAAGACCAGAAAAAATATGAGTCAGACCTGCTTGTATCTGATTTTCTAGTTGGTTTTCAGAGGCTAAATTGCACTAGAAGAGAATGCCTGACTTTCTCTTACAGAACATCTAGTGAATCTAATTCACCAGAGAGGTGCCTCTCAGATCTACTGGGGGGCGGGGGTTAGCTGTGAGTCGGTTCCAGCCCAACCCCAGTGAGTGAGTGATGTATGCACGTACAAGCGTCATGTACAAGCATGCGTATGCACTATTCCAGTGAAGTCTCACTCTTCCTATAAGGGGGCTGAGACAAAAAGGTTCTACTGTGTAAGACCATTATTGTACAACATGTATGAGAAGGAAAAGGGGGGAGCACAGGGGTGAGGCTGGGCAGGGGGCTTGGAAGGGTTTTAATCATAGGGTCACACAGTTCGATGAGTGGAGGGAGGAGTAGGGAAAGGAAATGGGAAAGATCCAGTGTGAAAAGCAATGTATACAAACTTTGTAAGTATAGCAGTATAATTTTAAAAAAAAATCTATATTCTTAAGAGTTTCTACTCCTGTTTTTATAAGATGATACCATTTAGATAGCTTAAGCAACGTTCTCCCAACGTTGTCTCCTCAGATATAAATGACTTCTTTTTCTAATGCATAGCTCGATAGCACATTCTTACCAAGGGCAGATACCTTGCTAGACTGAATAATTTTACGGTACTTATCTCTGTAGCTGTAATGACTTTACTTCTGAGTCCTTGAGTCGGTCATTATCAGTGGCTTGTCCGGGAGACCAGCCCCATTAGCACTGCCTGGGGACTTGTAGGGAAGGACTGTCCCCCAGCCCAGCCCTGCTGAGTCACCAGCCCTGAGGGAATCTCTGCACCACCTGCATTCAAACAAGCCTTGCAGAGGGGGCTCTGATGCACACCGAGCTTGAGAACTGACAAAGTAAACCCAGTTCAGTCATGAGTCATGGTCTAGATTTTTATTATTCCGTTATAACTGATTAACACTGATGATCAGGTGTTTTCCCTGGGCACCTTTTTATGTAATTTACAGCTTTGGTACAGATATTTGGGCACATTTTTATGTAATTTACAACTTTGGTACAGATATTTGAGATTAAGGGATGAACAAAACAATTTGCCAGAGTGGAAGGGTTCAGAGGATCACGGACAGAAATAGACGCAAGTGCTTCTGGTTTAAGGCAAGTGAGGCTGAGAAGGTGCCGTGTGGGCGGTGAAGAGCCTGGGCTGAGGAGCTGCAGTTTCAGGTTCAAATCCTCTCTGTGGGACCTCGAGCTGGCCCCTCACTGTGCTCTTGTTTCATCTGTATAATCGTTGTTGGATGTCGTAGCTGACCCTCCAGTAGGTTTTCAGAGGCAGTAAATCTCATGAAAGGAGCTTGTCCATCCTTCTGAACAGCAGCTGGTGGATTTGAACCATGTGCTTTTGGGAATTGCAGCATAGCTTCCTGCCACTGGGCCACCAGAGCTCCCTATCTGTAAAGTCAGAGTTATTGTGTCCATCTGCCTGTCATGTACAATGTTGCAAATTGTAACCAGGAAGGGAAGGGGTGTGCTCCTTTTGCTATTGTGGTTCAGTGGTAAAATTCACCCCTTCCCTGAGGGAGACTCCAGCTTGATTCCTGGCCACCACAGCCACTCCCCATCTGTAAGTGGACACCTGCTTGTTGCTCCGTTGCATAATAGGGTCCATGGAGCTTCCAGACTCGAACAAAAGGCTTGGCAGCCTCAGTCTTCTCCAAAGTCATCACCCACTGGGAGCCCTGCCAGTCTTGGGAGTGCAGTGCCCTTGTGCACGGTTCCGTGTGCATCAGCCACCTGCATCCTTCACGGAGCCCTTTGCCTGTTGAGGTTGGGGATGACCAAATGAGGGTTAAAGTGCAGCAAAATGCAAGCAAGGCACGATCTTTCAGACGGTGGAAAGTAATCTTGAGAAGTACCTTAAAATCATGAAAAGGTTAGTTACTGCTCACCGTGAAAATTTGAGGAATAGGGTTGTAAAAGTACCACCAAAAGGAAACCAGTTTTGTTTAGAAGATACACAGATTCGGACATTTTCAGAAAGACTTTGAGCTTGAGAGGTCTCCCTCAGGGTACTAAATGCCTTCAGTTGTGTTTTCAGTTCATCGTTGCTTCATGTCTGACCTCTGAACTTCTGAGTTCCGGGAGAACCTTGGCCCAAGGGTCACCTTTCCAGATGGCCCACAGCTGCTGACTGCAGAGTGACCATTCTAAAAGACCCTGAAAATCACCCTCCAAACACCTTAGGTGTGAATTCATCAATTGCCCCCACAACATGAGCCCCTTCTCCCGGGGGCTCTGCCATGATATTCCTTCCTTGTCCCTGTGCCAAGGTCCAGGCTGCCCTCCTTTGCCAGCGACTAGGATTGGAAGTACCTTCATATGCCTCCTAACCAGACCCCACAGTTACCCAGGCTCATCAGCCACCTTCTCCTCACTCTCCTTCCGAAGGGACTGCACTATTAGGAATGCAGGGCTTCACCCTGTTATCTCAGTGTCCACCTTCCAGGGTTAGAAGGCGCTTTCGTTTCTCCCATGCCATTCGAGAAGTGATATATTCATTCACTCAACAAAATGTTTTGCAAATAGGCAGGGCTCTAACAGAGTCTCTTAGCAAAACAAGGTCCTCAGCCTTTGTGGACCTTATGTCCCTTCAAGAGGTGACATGCAAATAACAATAAAAATAATGAGTTAAATACTCCATGTGTGGGAAGCAGATAAATGTTAAAGGGGAAACCCGAGATTGGGAAGGTGGGAGTGAGGAGAGAGAAGGCTACAGTTTTAAAAGGTGGGAGGGAGAGCGATGCTAAGGAGGTGACTTGCGTGGAGAATGAGGGCATATACATACCTGGAAGGAAAGAAAACAGTGCAGACCTGAAACAGGAGAACGTGTGCAAGCCATTCAGGGAGCAGTGAGGACCGGTGTGGCTTTCTGGGCTTGATGGTGGGGAGGAGAAGAGAGTGTGGAGGCCAGCAAGGAAGATGGTGGGTCCCCAGGTCACGTGGAATGTTGTAGACTCTTGAACAGACTCTGAGATTTCTCTCTGAATTGTTAGCACCTTGCCTCTCCTTTACCTTCATGGAGAATACACGTTCAGTCCCAAGTGGCCATCACAAAAGCAGTGTGGCTGGAGACCCTACAGAATGAACTTCGAGCTCGCTCACAGTGGTACCTTGGAGCTTGTTTTTCGGAGGTATTGGGGCTACCACACAATGGCAGTCAGACAGTCTATAATAATACCAGTGGCATTTGTTTTAACCTAGCTGTTGGCATTTCTAAGGTCCTTCTCCCTTCCAAACAGAAACAGAGTAGAATTCCTTTATAAAGCAGGTCAGCCTATCCAAATAGTCACACCTGTATTGAGGTGATCATTCCCCTGACTCGCTGGCTACCTCACAGCAATGCCCAGTTCTGGCCACGTTGTAAAAGTAGGCTTCAGGTCAAAGAGGATTTATTGATCCTGCTTTTGCCCCAATAAACTATGTGCTCACGAGGACTACAAATACAGGACGTGAACCCTTAAACTTTGATAGATAAAGCCTTTAGAAACCTGGATAGACTGAAGTATGTAACACATGTGATGACAGCAGGGAGACTGCTTTTTCTGGCTTTATTCAGACCTTCAGGTGACCCATCTGAACCTTGTTATTTACAGGAAGCTGAAGAATATCTTTTTGGGACTATTTTCTGTACTTAACCTGTGATTCAGTAGCTCAAGAGAGTTTAGGCTTTTTCTGTTTTCAAAGCCACTTTATTGCTGCTACCTCATTCGGTTCCCAAGACAACTTCCAAGGATGGTAGGCTATTACAAATCAGAAGAGTGAACCTGAAAGAAGTTATTTATTCACAGGTGGCCTTCTCACAGTGAAGGGGTATCACGGCCCCAGTCATCTTAACCTTGGCAAAACCTGTCCTTAACCTTAGCCACATGATTATGAAGGATATGGTATTAACACCATGCCTGGCCCATAGTGAGCCCTCATTCATAACTGTTAGCTGTGGTTTAAGATGCTAATTTTTTTTAAATTTTTTTATTATATATTGGTTTGCTTACAAAGTTTGTATCCATTGTTTTTCACACTGAACCTTTGCCATTTCCTTTATCCAACCCCCACCCATCAAGTTGTGCGACTCTGTGATTACCCACCCTGCCCATCCTCCCTTCTCTGCTCCTAACCCCCCTTCAATCCTCATCCACGTTTTACTAGTTGTCTATTACTACAATAATGGTCTTACACAGTAATTACTTCTGAGACTGAGTTAGTTCCCTTAGCATAATGTTCTCCAGGCTCTCCCACGTTATACAGTGATTTTCAAAATCATTGTTCTTGCGTGCTGTGTAGTATTCCATCATGTGAATGTACCACAGTTTCTCAATCCATTCGATTGTAGTTGGACATTTGGGCTGTTTCCATGTTCTTGTGATGGTGAATAATACTGATGTGAACATTGGTGTACAAATCTCCATTTGTATCTCAATTCTCATTTTCTCAGGGTATATTCCAGGCAGTGGAACAGCTTGGTTATATTTCTGTGTTCCACTTTTTGAGAAAATGCCAAGCTGCCTTTCAGAGTAGTTGTACCATTTTTACAATCCTACCAGCAGTGTATAAGAGTTCCTATCTCTCCACATCCTCTCCAGCATTTATTACTTGCTGTCCTGGTAAACTTTGCCAATGCTACGGGGACTGAGATGGTATCTCTTTGTGGTTTTGAAGCTAATCTTTGAAACTCATTAAGAAGCTGGGAGTAACTGACTCCTGCGCTCGCCCCTCCACAGCCATACACTGCTTCCCTTATGTGAAGAAGCGGATCCCCGTCATGTACCAGCACCACACGGATCTGAACCCCATCGAGGTGGCCATTGACGAAATGAGCAAGAAGGTGGCCGAGCTCCGGCAGCTGTGCTCCTCGGCCGAGGTGGACATGATCAAGCTGCAGCTCAAACTGCAGGGCAGTGTGAGCGTTCAGGTGAGGGAACCCGGGGCCACGGAAAGAGAGGCTCCTTTGCACCCTCGGGAAACCTCAAGACAAATGAGGTGGAGTGGAGACAGATCCTTGAGTTTTACCAGCTGATCCCCAGTTCACCTGTCCTCCATGTCCTTATAGTTAAATCAGACTGAGGGTAGCCATAGGGCCTCTACCCAGCCTACCTGTGAGCTCTGTCATTCTGTCTACACTGTCTGCTAGCTGCAAGGAGCGGCTTTCTGTACTAACCTGATTTGTCAGTAATTTAAGGAAAATATTAGGTCCCCAATTTGGAAGCACCAAGACTTCTAAATGTAAAGTGTCACTGGTACCTTACAGCCATTTTGTTATACATTAATATCAAATTAAGGAAATTGTATAAAATATGTTCAGTATTGTTTTCATTTCCCTTATAACTTCATATAATTAGTATTATCTGACAAATTAAAAATTATTTCTTATTTAAAAAAATAATACACAGAGTTACTTTTGCACCAGACTAACACGAAATTTTCTAAATGATTCATGGAAGAAAAATATTTTCACTTTTGCAATTTTGCAAAACAGCAACACTTTTTTCATTCATTGATGAAAATATTTCCTCCCAAACATAGCTATTATCTGGTTAAGACACCAGGTAACCTCATTTTTGGGACATGTCAGCGTGAATAAAGGGTGCAGGGAGAATGCATTGCCACTGTTGATTTGCTCTTGTGTGGACCTTTGACACCAGAACTCTGTCTTCTGGTGTGTAAATAAAGGAACAGGAGGGATAAACTTATCATTAAAAAAAAAGTGTCACTAGTATCAGGTTGTCTTTAAAAACTCATTATTTTTTGGTTTCTATGAAAACTGAACTGCAAAAAGTAGCTGACATTTTACTCTCTCAAAGAGATCTTCTGATTATCACACGTGTACACGTGTATCGATCTTAAATTGCCTCATCAGTCAGTTTATGGGGAGCACACTTGGTGTCCTATTAAGAAATCTACAGGTCGCCTCAAAATATTTTCTCAATCTATAGGTTGTCGTTTACTTTGTTGCTGAAAGACTTTTGGTAATCAAAATATTTGCAAGGTCCTGTGGGTCTGTTTGATCTGTTGCTACTCCTGCTTTTGTTGTCATAATTGACTATCATGGGGAGCTCTGGTGGCCTAGTGGCAAGAAGCTGCAACTACAATCCAGAGGTACACGGTTCGAATCCACCAGATGCTCTGCCGGGGAGGGGCAATCTCCTCCTGTACCAGTCAGATCTGATTTGACGGTACACACACAAAAAAATTATAAAATAAATTAAAAAAAATTGACTGTCATTACCATCTATGACTTAGAGCCATAGTTAGATCAAAGTCTCTAGCAACTACAACTATTAGGAGAGACCTGCTTTTTCTTTTTACAATGGCATTTTATTGTGTTTTCAATGCAGTTTTGTATAGCATTTTTAGGTCCTCATTCAACAATTTCTCCACAGATTGTTGACCCTGATTCCCAGTTTCACAATGAATGAGCACTTTGAGTATTTCACTCTGCTTGTTCTATGTCCATTCATCTACTTCCCTGCTATCTTACATTCTAAGGCCTTTGTTGGGTTTGGTATTTTTTTTAATAAGAAAAAATAATATTGTCTGACCACATATACTCAACTGCTTTTTTAAAAACCGGCATGTTGTTGTTGTTGTTGTGTACCATCAAGTGGTAATCAACCCATAGTTGATCATTTGGCAGGTGTTCAGAGGCAGTTAATCATATGGGAGGAAAATGCACATCCTTCTGCAGAGCAGCTGGTGGATTTGATCTGTGTGCCTTCAGGATTGGAGCACAGGCTTCTTACTGCTAGGCCCCCAGCGCTCCCTATACTATTTTAAAGTTTTCATCCAATCAGCCTCTTACTTCAGAAACTAATAGTGTAGCCTACATTTATGTAGCCTAAGTATCTCAGGACTAAGAATCCTTGACATGCAATTGGAGGATGTAGGCTCTGGTTTTCTTTACTGTTTGACCTTAAACAGATTTTCATTTTTCAAGCATTTCTTTTTTTGGTTATGTAAATAAACCATCATAAGCGCTCCGTCTATATCAGGAAATGATAGGATAAAAATCAAATGACGTAAGAATGACACGGTTTATTAACAGTTTCCCCCAAGTCATCAATTCAAGGTCAGGGACTAGAACTAATTTATGTAAATGGTATCTCTAGCACATCAATAAAGGATGATGATCATTTTCTTCACAACGTAACCAATCCTTGGTTCTTCATCTAGGTCAACGCTGGCCCACTGGCATATGCCCGAGCTTTCCTAGATGATACAAACACCAAACGCTATCCTGACAATAAAGTGAAGTTGCTTAAAGAAGTTTTCAGGTAATGTATCCAGAAAATGTCTCCTAAATGATCACAGCAATGATTGATGCTTGGAGAGAAAAGACATCTTTCCAGTCGGACTCCTTTGGTCTCAGGAAGGCTTATTTTTCCTTTTCTGCACCATTTCAGACAATTTGTGGAAGCTTGTGGTCAAGGCTTAGCGGTAAACGAACGTCTGATTAAAGAAGACCAGTTAGAGTACCAGGAAGAAATGAAGGCCAACTACAGAGAAATGACGAAAGAGCTTTCTGAGATCATGAAGGAGCAGGTCAGTGGCCGCCTCGAGTTCTCGCCGCAGAGGGAATGTGTGTTAGCTGGGATCTTAAGTAAGGACCTAATCTTCTAAATGTCCAGAATTTCTAATTCTAAAAAATGGTATAGCACACCACACTCACTCTTCTCTCTAACCCAGGTGGTTTGGAGGACAGCTACCAAATTGCCCTCCTGAATAATCAAAAGTCACTAGAAAGCCCCACTCATCATTGCTCTTAAGAGTGTGGGGGACACACTTCATAAACGTTTTCTCTCCATGCTCTGAGATTATTGCTCCCCTAAAAAACATGCCAAAAAGAAAAAAAAGCCCCAGGGAAAAAAATACCCATGCAATTGCCTATAATACTATTTTTATATCGTTTGCTTTAGTTATATACACCCTTGAATGAATAGGGTCTACCAGCTTAGCTTAAGGAATTTCCTTTTTTTAAAAAAACAAATGTGGTTCAATTCCTGGCCACTTAGAGTTGATCTCCGTGCCCCACGTTATAGTGACAAGGCAGCTTTCATGATTGCATGGCTGTTTATGTAAGAACGAGGCCATTCTTTTCAGCAGGATCCCACCTGTGAGTTTAATAGTCCCAGGGCAGCAGGGCTCAAAGTGAACATCAGTGAGCAAGCATCCAGTCCACATAAACAGAAGCTTGCTTTCTCCCAGGCCTTTTCACCATCAGTGGTAGACCCGTGAATACCTGGCTAGTAGCAGCACACTCTCTCCCAGACGTCTTCACCATCAATGGTGGACCCGTGAATACCTGGCTAGTAGCAGCACACTCTCTCCCAGACGTCTTCACCATCAATGGTGGACCCGTGAATACCTGGCTAGTAGCAGCACACTCTCTCCCAGACGTCTTCACCATCAATGGTGGACCCTTGATAGAACCTGGCTGCTTTTGTATATTCCCAACATTAATATTTTTTTAGTTTTACAAAATGGAAATCAGAATGTATCTCTGTGATGATTTACTTTGTTTCTTCCAAGGTAAACTTACTGTTTGAGGTTTAACTCATACGCTTTTTTTTTCTCCTCTCCATGCAAACACATTCAGATGGGATGGTAATAATAATTTTTAATTTTACTTTTCCAAACCTTTATAAACTGACTCATGCCAAGTCATTGCCAAGTCAGAGTGACTACGCATTTTGGTATAAAGGCAATGCAGGGGCCAAGGAAAGCAGCTTTCTTCTAGGCATTTAATTCCATGTGTTCTAGTCAACTTCCTGTTAGCAATCACAAAAATTGAACTCCTTTGAACTGTTAAGGTTGGGACCCTGGGTCCCAACTGTTAGTGTTTCTAATGAGAGCTTTTCAGTATTCTTCTGATTTGACTTCTAAACAGATGGAAAGTCTTGCATACATATTCCCCCCATGGGGTCATTGGGTGTGAAAGATCCTTGTCCAGAGAACTTAGATCCTAACCAGATCAAGTGTGTATGTAAGATAGCTCTAAGTCTACTGGATCCAAAAGGCTCTCCAGTTAACTTCCCTGTAATAAAATCAAAGTCTGTTGTTCTTGACTCTCTTTGGAGCATCCTGATCTGAAAATGGTCATTTATTAGATGCCCTGCTACAACCAGTCTGCAGCCCCTAAAAGCAGAAATGTTGCCCATACTTCATTATTGATCTGTTTTAGAGAACACTTGATTCTGCCATTACGCTTTGGTAATACTGTGCTTCTGTGTCTCAAGATCTGCCCCCTGGAGGAGAAATCGAGCGTCCTACCAAATTCCCTTCACATCTTCAATGCCATCAGTGGGACCCCAGCAAGCACAATGGTTCATGGGATGACCAGCTCTTCTTCCGTGGTGTGATCTCGCCTCCTGCACTGGGTGTGGGCACTCACTTTATCATTTGCAAACTCAGGATGATTTCCAAAGCCAATCACTGGGCTCGCACAAGACACGAGGAAGACTGAGCACAAGAGGAGGGAAAGAAAGAACTGGGTTTATTTCGTAGCAGATTTTCTATCGACGTAATAAGAGGGTGCACATATTTTTTTTTTAAATCTCACTGGCAATATTTAAAGTTTCCCTCGTGTCTTCATAGAGATGTGTGATGGGCACTCTAGTAAAGTTTTATTCTTCCTTACAGAGTGTATTTACTTAAATGGCCTACGGAGGGTAAGGGCATGTACATAGTGGCAACAGTAGCACTGAAACTGAGCTTGAGTTGGCCTTTTGCCTCAAGGCTAAGCTGGAAAATCTTGAAAATATTTTTTCCCCCTGTGACACATTCAGGTTGAATACAAGAACTATTTTTGTGACTAGTTTTTGATGACTAAGGGAATTGACCAGTGTAATTTTTGTACTAGTGAACCGGGAAGTTAGAGTTTTTGTACTCACTCACATGCATTTAAAAAAATATGAAAGCTTAAGAAACTATGTGAGCTTAAAACTAGTCAAGCGGTTTAGAACCAAAGGCCTGTATTAATAAACATAACTATGCTGAAAAGGTAATAAATTCCCATGTACATACCGTTTTGTTAATACAGTCCCAGCGTTCTGTACAGACGTGTATTACATTTCTCTACATTTTTAATACATCAGCTACTGCATTATTCCATTGTGATGAATTTGTGTTGGTCTTAGTATATGCAAAAATCCATTTGATTTTACTATTTTATTCTTGTACATAAACAAGTGCAATATGGAGATGTATACAGTCTTTGCTATGTTAGGTTTATAAACTGTTTTAAAAATTTCATCCTTTTGCCAAAGTGATGGAGTATGTAACTGGTGAATCCTGAATCCTGTGGTGAACAGTGGTATAATTTAAAGTTTTCACCATGTTATATTTTCTTTGAAGACATTAATTTAGTAATTTTATATTTGGGGAAATAAAGGTTTTTAATTTTATTTAACTGGAACCACTGCCCTGCTGTAATTAAACATTCTGTACCACATCTGTATTAAAAATAACATTGCTGAATTTTTGGTAATGCGTACTGGACATTTATTGCTTGATAGTCTCAGAGAGGAGGAGGGAGGCTTCTAAAGTGTTGAGGGGTGAAATAACATGTAGTCTGGAATTTATATTTAAATACTCAGTCCACAGAGGAGGGGACAGGTAGATGGAACAAGACTGAGAAGATGTTGGTAACTGTTGAAACTGAGGTGGTGGTGGTTACGTGCCATCAAGTCAACTACAACTTACCCTATGAACACCCTATCCTGACCCACCTCATTGTCTTTGATGCACCTGACCCCATTGCTACAGTTTATATGTCCATCATTTGCTCTTTTGGGTACAGTACTTGTCTGTCAGATGCTGTACTAAAGCAGAGCTCTCAAATTAAGACAGGCTAGGAAGAAGGATTGGCCATTCACTTCTGAAATAACAGGCCTTCAAAAACCCTATGAATAGCTGAGGTTGAATACGTAGAAAGTCATTGTACTCATTTCTCTGCTTTTGTATATGTTTCTGTGATAAAAATTTCAAAACTCAGACCTAGGCACCTGCTCTTTGGAGGAGGTGGGTAAGTGTTTAGTTGCACTGTGGTCTGCCTCTAAATCATCCCACTTGTTCCCCTGCACCTTTAACACCTGATTACCTCTGACTTGCCCTCTGGGACTGTATCAAGGCTAGCATCTCTTATCACCTGCCTTCCTTTCTTTTTTAGATGATCACCTTACCCCAGAATATTTCTTTCCTTCCCCAGCAGTACTAGTTGGTCCCACATTCTTACAGACATAGTACCTGGCTCAGGTGACAGCTTGGGTTGCCAGGGCTGGTCCTGCCTCTCCTGAACCCAGTATTCCCAGCACATGAGTCAGTTCTTTGTCACTCCACCACATAGATTCCTGTGATGGAAGTTCACGGCATCTTTTTAAAAGAAATAAAATACGATAATTTCCCCCCTCAAATAATATGCCCATATAAATAACATGACCAGATATAATGTGCCACATAACACATTTGAAAAAGTGGCTTGGAGGATTTGCACAGTTAACAACAAAATAGTAGCTGGTTTTCCTGCCAGAAGGGTTTCAAAGGCCATCTTTTTTTGTATAACCAAATGCAGGAAGGAACACGTGATGCTATGAACATCAGGAACACCCAGTAACAAGGGCTCTTTTGGCCTCTTTGAAACTCTCTGTATTTCGTCAGGCTGTACTTTAGAGAGGAAAGTCAGATTTGGAGATGGGCCAGGTGACTCAGCAGAGCTGGACGCTTAGTTGCTGTCCATCTGGAGTTAAGACTTAAGAATATCAACTGGCCTTACCGCACAGCTTCGAACTAGTTATTCGCATTTCAGTCATGGCCGAAGAAACAAAACTAGAAGAGATTTGGTAACATTTGGGTGAACTTGAATGGGAAATACTACAGACAGAAGCCCTGTTAACAATTTCATCTCCTCTGGAAAACATGGGTAGCAAAGCAACCAGATCTCTCTCCTGTGAGATTTTTAACAGAGTTAGAAACACTGATATTTCCCTCCAAGACGGTGGCCAACCACCCAGCCTCAAATACGCTCTTTCTCCACAATCCCACCAGTAACCCCGTCTCACATGCCAAGCTTCTGAAAGGATTCAGAATGGCTCCTCCAAGGCTTCTTCTAGTTCACCCAAACTCTTTAAATACCAATCTATTCTGGTTTCATCCCATTAGCCATGACTGAGCTGATCTGAAGCCCACGTGGTCCTTGAATCTCTTCCAATGTAATAAACCATGATGCTCACATCAAGGATGTTACAACGACTCTAACACTAGGGGGCGCTAGTAGTGAAGTTCAGAGGGAGTTGAGCTGCCAAACCAAAGGCCAGGCTTCTAGCAATGTGAATCCCCCAGCAGCTCCTGGGGAAAGGTGGTCAAAACTCCTCCAGTGCGGTTCGCAGCCTGGGAACCCAGGGGAGGGTCACCTAGGGTTTTGGTTCTGACTCGATGGCACTCAGTTGAGATTTGAGTAACATCCACACAGTTGGGTATACAAATTTGTCTCCTGCGTCACGAAGCTGGGTTTGCGAGTCCCAACTAAATGTTTCATGGAGAAGCCATTGAGTATCTCACAAGGTAGAAAGATAAAGAGTGAGTCTAAAAAGAGCTAGTGTGAGATCTCACCTTTGAACTTAGAGGACAGCTGTGCAGATTCCTGTCAGATAAGATTAAATGTGGACCTTGGTCAGCCCTGATTTATTATAACAGCGAGAAAGGATCCATCCCTAAGCTAAAGCCACTGGTCCGTTAAACAAATTTATGTCTATTAAAAAGTGTTTCACATAAGTATAAATTTTAAATTCCCTTTTTAAATAGCATAATCATCAGTTTCTGAAGGAAAACTTGTTAAGGTAACTTTGGCATGAAGACAGCTGTGTTAGTGAAGGGCTATTCCCTATGTGGAAAAGAATTACGCCTAGATTTTGTAGTTAGTTTTGTCCTGAAGTCATACAATGGTGTCTGTCAACCAGAATTGAGTGAAGCCAGCAGTCAGTAACAGCCAGTGGGAAAATGACTAAGCGTACTCCAGCTACTCTCTGGTCCACAAGAAAAGTCTGAAGTGTAGTCAAAAAACACACTGAACTGAACTGGAAGCTGCAATTCAAAATGTTGGGATGACTAGGGAGCTCTGGTGGCCTAGTAACAAGAAGCTACACTGCAATCCCAGAGGTATGTGGTTTGAATCCACCAGATGCTCTGCTAGAGAAGGAGGGGCAATCTCCTCCTGTATCAGCCAGATCCGATTTGACAGTACACACACACAAAAATAATAAATTTAAAAAAAAAAAAAACCAACAACAAAATGTTGGGGGGACCAGCTCAACAGCAGAGAAGTTGATGGCTCTAAGTGCATTTATTAGAATGAAAGGAAAAATTGTCACATAAATGTCAACTCTCACAGCCAAGTCTACAAAGGGAGCACAAAGTAAAGGTAAAGCAAACAGGAAGGAAGGATACATCGAGCAGCAGGGAAAGGTAAGAGAAAGTGGCAGAAAATCATTGGGAAATGTTGGGTTTTTTAAAATCATTAAAATTAACAAACATCTCCAATACTGACCAAAGAAGAGACATGTTACCAACACCTGGAATGAAATGGATGTCAAAAACCTCAAGGCACAGAGAAACACTAAAATTTGGTGGTGGGGTGGTAGTGGTGGTATGTTCTCCTGAGTCACCTGCGACTTGCAGTGCACCTGTGTACAATAGCTCTGAATCCTGCCCTATCCTCAGCCAGTCTCACCATCTCTGACACACCTATCTCCAATACCCCAATCCATCTTATCCAGGGTCTTCCTTTCCTGCGTTGTCTCTCCACCCTTCCCACTCTCCTGGTCACATGCCCCAAGTATGTGAGACAGAGCTTCAACATCCTCACCTCCAAGAAGCAGCTTGGTTTTACTTTTTCCAAGACATACCAGTTTTCTTTCTTGGAAGTGCATGGTATTATCCAGTACTCTTCTTCAGCACCACGACTGAAAGGCATTAATTCTTCTGTCATCTTTATTCATTGTCTCTCTGATGCATAGCAAGTAATAGCGAAGACTATGACAAGTAATAGTGAAGACTACGGCTTGAATCAGGCACACCCTAGTCTCTAGACTGACATTACTGATCTTTAGCGCTTTGGAGAGGTCCCTGACAGTTGATTTCCTTAATGCAGTTCTTTTGATTCCCTGACTACTGGTGCCAAGAGTGCTGATTGTGGGGTGAGCAAGATGAAATTGTTAACAACCTCAATCTCTTCTCCATGTATCTTGGTGATGCCAGTTGGCCCAGTGGTGAGAATCTGTCTTCTTGATGTTGAACTTCAGTCCTTATTGAAGACTACAGTCCTTGACCTTCTGCAAGCTAACACTTCAGGTCTTTCTCAGTTTCAGCAAGCAAGGTTATGCCATCTGCATAACACAGATTGTTGATGAGTCTTCTTCAGTCCTGATGCCAC